TACATACATACATACATACATACATACATACATACATACATACATACATGCGACAACGAGATCTACATCCTGATTGAAACACATCTTGATCGACAAAAGCACCACTCCATGTGCCAATACTTTGAAGTACGCGGCAGACATGCCTTTGGATACCCTGCCCACAGCAATGCCACCAACGATGGCAACCATGGGGGAATCCTAGTCATCTATGACACAGCGCATGGGCTTACCCAGCTTGAAGCCTTTGAGATTGAGGGCTGTGGTTACCAAGCTTTTCTGTGGGAGGCCAAGGCAAGAACCATTTTGGTCGTCGCTGTCTACTTCAAGACCAATGAAACGATCCAAGGCACCACCAATGCCCAAATCCTTGCACGGATCTTGGCACTATTAGAAGCCACAAGGCAGTTTGTCCTGGTTGGGGACTGGAATAACCACCCAGAACAGATCCAAGGAACAGTCCTCGGCTCCAAGTTCCATTGGCAGATCCTGGCTCCAGACGCAACCCTGCTCAATGGCAACACGGTTGACTACGCCATCATCCAGCAAACACTGGCAGCCTGCACCTCCATGACCACCGAGTGGGCAGTCCCCTGGCGACCACACTGCCTCCTCACCTATGCCTTCGAGCTTGAAGATGACTTCCGACTGTACCACCAGCTCCGGGCCTTTCCACCGTTGCCAAATGTGCCCGACATTGGGTTCCGGGCTTGGAACACTTATGTCTCGCAGGCAGACCAGCTTCAACTCTATGAGAGTAAACCCAACAGAGGAGCACAAGGGCTGGCGGACTGGGTCTCGATCACAGAGCAATACCTACTGCAGCAGCACCCCTGGGCACCACAGGGACGGGTGGCCAACCTGACCATCCAGCATCTCCCCTTGGTGCCCGCGAAAGCAGGAGGCATCTGGAAGCGAGGGAAGGCTGCTTATTGGGAACAAATACAAGCCCGCTTCACCCTGATCCAACACCAGCCAGCAAAGGCTCCAGGAGCCATCCACGGGCTCACCAAAGCACTCCAAAACCTCCAACACCAATGGCTGGGTGATCAGACATGGGGGCTTTTTCTCGATACATACCATCATTGGGTCCAGTACAAGGATGACCGCACTTTCGACCTTCTGCAACAAACAGTGCAGCATCAACTTGAAGCAGCACAACACCAGAGCAGAGAAGAAAGCTGCCTCCAATATGCGGAATGGATCCGGCAGGGCGAAACCAAAGGCCTTAAAGGCCTCTTCAGATCCCTCAAGGCCAGCGAGCTCTCATGGCAGAGACCCTACAGAACCATCCCTATGGCAGACCGCATGCGACACCGGATGAACGACTGGC